GATTTATTACAGTGGTTTTTAAGGGAACTTGGTTTTTGGTTCGCTTTAGGAGACTTTATTGACTCTGTGATTAGTGAGATCCGTAACATTGTTATTGTGACTGATGATGAGCTTAGACAAACTAATTTTTTAAACCGTTTTGAAAGACTTGACCGTGCTACCAATGCCTTTCGTTCAGGACTAAATTTACTGACCCCCGCGTGACTAGTCATGGTTGGACGGGGTTTATTATCTCAATCCAAAAAATGGGACAGACAGAGACTTGTAGCTAAGCGTCGAGCTAGAACCGTTAAACGTGCCATAAATACATTGCGAGGTGCATTACGTTCTGCGATGTCTAGGCAACGCCGTAAGACCCCTTGTGATGCAATCAAATGCTTAACACCTGTGCTGCTTCCGGCTGAGGATGGCGTAGACGCTACAGTTACCCCTGCGACACCCCACACAAATGATACTGAAATAGCCCCAACACCTACAGAACTTTCCACAGAGACGCAACAAAGTCCATTTAGTCCTGAGAATATTAACGATTCGCAGGAACATCCGAAGTGCAGAACCCTGTTAATGAGTTAGAGGCCCCTGTATTTTTGGAGCGTGTTGAACAACGCCGCAGAGATATTAACAATTTTAATGCCGTAGAATATTATGAACATTTTCGGTTTGTAAATTTAGACAGAATAACATCGTTTTCAGACGCACTCCAGTCTGTACATGATGCTATTCAAGAGCTTTTAAACAGGATGATGCCTGATATAGGTCCCAGCGATTTTGTTCAATTAAGGCTAGATAGCGATGATCTTGGCAGACCGTTACACTCTATTAGACGTTGTAGGGATGAATTGAATGCTGAAACCTTTTTAAACGCAGTGTCAAACCTGGTACAGAGCAATGCTGAAATTATTGGCAGCGGGTCTTTAAGGTTGGTTGTAATCATTGTTAGGAATAGAGTCGGTGGTGTAATGCATCGTAGGCGTCTCCGGTCAACACCCTATAGTTGTATCATTGCCAGGAAAAAGAGATGGCTTTATGATTTAAACAATGATAATAATAACCTGTGTCTAGCGGCTAGCATTTGTGCCCTTGTGGCTCAGGATAATCCTGTAGACTCTCTGTTGTTGGAGAGAGCCAGAGAAATACATAAAGCTGTAGGTATCCCTGATGATCGTCTGGTTAGTTTTAGCGACATCCCAGCTTTTGAACAACATTTAGGCATTACAATTAAAGTACTGTATCACAATCATGGTTCGTGGCACTATTTTCATTCAGACAAGCCCTGTAAAGATAAAGTTGTGTTTATATACCATGAAGACAAACATTATTATGGCATTAAAAAAATTAATGCGTTCATTGGGGAATCATACTTCTGTAATTACTGTCACACACCATTCTCTCACAAAAACAATCATTCCTGCCGGTATTTTTGTAAGACCTGTCACAGACAGACCTGTGTAGAAGTGAAAGGGGAGTTTCCTAGATGTTCCAGTTGTCGTACTTTTTGTCGTTCACAAGAGTGCTTAAAGTTGCACATAGAGCTCTCCGTATCCGGAGACATAGAGTGCAGGCAGAAAGCTTATTGTGATTCTTGCGGCCGTTACACCGTAATGGCCGATCATAAGTGTAAAGGTTTCCAATGTCAGATTTGCTATGCCACTGTAGTCACGCTTGATGGCCATGTTTGTTATATGAGAAGATACACCCCAGAAAACCCTACTAACAAATACATTTTTTTATGACTTTGAATGTATGCAGGAGACCGGTGTACATATCCCCAACTATATCTATGCTTCAGAATTAGAAGGGGATAAGTGCTGGGAGTTTCAGGGTACAGCGTGCCTAGAGGAGTTTATAATAAGATTTATAAACAAGCCCTTTAGTAACTACACATTTATAGCTCATAATGCAGGCAGGTATGATTCTTACTTTGTGGTGAATCAACTTCTTAAGGAGAAAATTGCTATTGAGTTGTTGGCGCAAGGTGGTAAATTACTTTGTGTGACTGTCGCTGATCTAGGTATCAGATTTATCGATTCTTTAAATTTTCTCCCCATGAAACTAAGTCAATTGCCAAAGGCCCTGGGTTTCGTCGGTTGTAAAGGCTATTTTCCACACTTTTTTAACACAGCCCAGAATCAGTCTTATATTGGCCCTATGCCTTTGGTAGACTATTATGGTTATGACCAAATGATGTGTGATGATAAAAAGGAGTTTATGGTCTGGTATCAAGAGAACCAACATTGTCAGTTCAATTTTCAAAATGAACTTAAGAAATACTGTATAGATGATGTTAAAATCTTGAAACAGGCCTGTGTCTGCTACAGAGAAAGTGTGATGGAGATGACCAAGAAGGTAAAAACTATTGTGGGTCCTGACGGTCCTGAAACCGTCATTGCTGATATTGATCCTTTTCAACTCACTACATTAGCGTCTGTGTGCATGGCCATGTACAGATTTAAGTTTTTACCGAAAAATACCATAGCAATTTTACCCTCTGACAATTACCATGCAAATCAGAAACGTTTCTCAACAAAGTCTATACAGTGGTTAATGTATGTTGCACACAAAGAGGGGATCACTATTCAGCACGCTCTACAGGGCGGTGAAAGGGCTGTTGGTAACTATTTTTTGGATGGGTACGCTCTGATTGATGGCCAGCCTACAGCTTTTGAATTTCAGGGTTGTTTCTACCACGGTTGCCCAGTTTGTTATAATGAAAAGGCTTTTAACACAGTTACAAAGACTACCTATGCACAATTACACCACAAAACCAATGTTAAAAATCATTTTCTAAAAATGCGGGGTTATGTGGTCCGTGAGATGTGGGAGCATGATTGGTCCAACCTGTTAGAAACTGACAAGGATCTACAGGCTTTTCTTATCGATAAAGATTTTCCACAGCCGCTGGAACCTCGTGATGCGCTTTATGGGGGCCGCACAAACGCAATCAAATTGTACCACAAAGCGGCCCCAGGTGAGAGCATACACTATTATGATTTTACCAGTCTATACCCATACGTCAACAAAACAAAATTATATCCCACGGATCACCCAGTAATCATTTATGATAATTTTCAGTCTTTTGAACACTATTTTGGCCTTGCTAAAGTAACAGTGTACCCACCCCGAGGTCTATTTTTCCCTGTTCTACCGGTTAAAATGAATGGCAAACTTATGTTCCCATTATGTCGTACATGCACAGCCAATAACCAAACAGCACATTGTGAACATAATGAGGAGGAACGCTCTTTGACAGGTACTTGGTGCACTATTGAAATACAACAAGCCCTGATTAAGGGCTACAGGTTGGGGAAGATCTTTGAGATTTGGCACTTTCCTTACTCTTCCAATACGTTATTTGAAAAGTATATAAAGGTGCACCTTAGGGATAAGCAGGAATCCTCAGGTTACCCTGAATGGTGTACGACTGATGAAAAAAGACGCCAATACATTGATGCTTATTACGCTAAAGAGGGTATTTTGCTAAGACCAGAGAAAATAGAAGTAAACCCTGCAAAACGACAGATTGCAAAATTGTTTCTTAATTCTTTATGGGGCAAATTTGGTCAGAAACCTAATTTGCAAACCACAAGTCTTGTATCTGATCCTGACAAGCTTTTTGGTTATATATTTTTACCTGAATACGAGGTGTCTTCTCTGTCATTCATAAATGATGATACAGCCATGCTCAGTTGGAAGCACGCCCAGGGTTGTCACAGTCCGTCTCGCAATACCAATATATTTATTGCATGTTTTACCACCGCCTATGCACGACTTGAACTGTACAATGTTTTAGACCGTCTTAATGAGAGATGTCTCTACCACGACACTGACTCTGTTATTTTTGTTAGTACAGCGGGTGACTGGAATCCACCTCTAGGGGACTATCTAGGTGAGCTGACTAGTGAAATACCCTGTGACACACACATTACAGAGTTTGTATCTGCAGGTCCCAAGACGTATGGTTACAAACTATCGACGGATAAAACATCTCTAAAGGTGAAAGGCATAACACTTCATGCCAGTAATGCCCAGTTGATTAACTTTGACAGTTTAAAAGACCTGGTGTTGGACTACCCCTTGCACTCAGACCCTGATGAACAGAAAAGAATAGTGGTACGACAGTCCTCCATTGTCAGAAATAAGCTCCTTTGGCAGATAGAGACGCGACCGCTACAGAAAACACAGAAGTGTGTATATACAAAAAGATATTTGGTCGACGACTTTACCACTCTCCCATTTGGTTACTAATCATTCACCATGGACACTCGTTTACAACATCCTTTTTCATGCATATTGGCAGGCCCTTCTAATTCCGGGAAAAGTTATTTTGTCAAACAGGTTTTACAGAATGCTACCGCTTTAATGTCGCACACTCCTGATAACATTGTTTGGTTTTATGCCTGCTGGCAAGTGCTTTATGATGAATTATTACTCACAATCCCAAATATTCGTTTTATAGAGGGTTTACCCACAACATTTAATGATGATAATTTGTTCCCCCCTAACAGAGTAAATTTAACTATTGTTGATGACTTAATGGAGGCTGCTAGTGAGAGTTCAGAAATTGAGAAAGCATTCACCAAGTATGTGCATCACAGAAATCTGAGTATTATGTATCTGGTGCAGAATGTGTTCTGTCAAGGTAAAAAAAGTCGTACTATAGCTTTAAACACTAAATATATGGTACTTTTTAAGAACCCAAGAGATAAACTGCAAATCACTACTCTGGCACGCCAAATGTACCCCGGTAAATCACAATTTTTTCTAGACGCTTTTGAAGATGCCACACGCAAATCTTATGGTTATCTACTTGTAGATTTAAGATCTGCAACCCTCGAAGAGTACCGCTTAAGAACCGGTCTCTTCCCACCCGACCTTCCCTCTGCATATATTTATAACAAACAGCCCTCTAAAAGTCGATAACATACCATTAACAGGTCATTCCCTGCCGAATCTCAGATCCTTAAGGATGTCTATGCGTATACGTCGCAATTGGTTGGCTTTACAAAGTCTAATAAGTGCATCGCCATCACAAAAAAAAGATATTTTATGCTCCGCATCTCATGATTTAGTCACGGCTATATGTGAAATAGCTCTTAATACCCTTAAAGGTAAGATACCTTTATCACAACAGCAAGTAGAAAAGCTAAAAAAGTGGCGAAAAAATATAAAAGCACTGAGCAACAAAAAAGTGTCTTTTAGTAAGAAGAAACAGTTGGTTAAACAGTCTGGAGGATTTATTGGCTCTCTGTTGGGATTTGCTATACCTCTGCTGACCGGTCTTTTGACTAACCGTTAATGGCACACGCTGAGAAAAAGTACTTAGTGTCTAAACAAGAGTTAGACCTAATACAGCGAACCACTCAGAGCTCTGAGACCGCTCGTGAGTCTGTCACTCAAAACCTAGATAATGAGATTATTTCTATTCTTCAAAATAGAGGTGTATCGGATGATGAGAAGATAAAGAGGTATACCACTATATTGCAGAAATACTTGGTACGTACTAAACAGAGTGAAAGCGAAAAGTTGGGCTTGACACTTTTCTTACCTCCTGGAGAATCCTCTGTACCAAACCCCCCTGTAGCACATCCTCATAATGCTGGAGTCTCTGATGTTTCAGACGCTGTATTTCGTGAAGTTGTTAATAATGTAAATGTCCGCTATAAAAAAAATGCTGAATTGTTGTTGAGTAGAATGTCTCAATTTAAGCACATTACCGCTTGGAATGATAAGGGTGAATTTGTTTATAAAAACACTGTTGTACCGGGATCAAATATACTCGATTTGGTATGTAGTGTTACCCAGAGTCACAATGTTACGGTACGTAAATTACCTCTGGGCTGGGATACTTTTCTTCAGGCTATGGCTGACCTGAACATACCGTCTACCGTTGTGGGCAACACATCAAATAGAGACTATTTGGAACAATTGAAATTGCGGATCCTTCCAAGCGAGACTCTGGACATAACACCCCATTTTCAAAAGAGACAATCGTTACCAAATATTTCTTTTAGCACCCCGGGATTAACTACATCTCACGGCTATTTGCTACCTAAGAAGCGCCCCCGTATACTAAAGCAGCCTGCTGATTGGTTGAATTTGTGATGTTTATTCATTGCATTTCTGTCTAAAACATGTGATGATTATTGCTTTTCCTTCATACATTGTATTACCCCTTTTGCCTGTGACTATTGTATTGTTGCTTTTCCTGTGAATAGTGTATCGGCTTTTTTTTTTTTTTTGTCTAATAAATATCGTTATATGAGTTACTTTGGCATTTATTTATTTCTCAGATGTATATAAACTTGCCCTCTGGGTTTGTTCTCTACTTTCAAAACTGGCCCCAGACACATCTTCCAAAACATGTCCAGACTTGTCCTCTTTATTCAGTAATATGAAATGAAATTTAAAATAAATAAACATCCAACCATAGGATGTAGTACCTCATACAACCACATGGTGGCAGACTCTATGAACATTGTAAAGGGGCGTGTCTATTACATGCCGTATTGGGTGTGGTTTCATAAAAAAAGGGGCGGACACCCATCAACGCGCAATGGGTGGGGCCCTATTGCGCAAGGGGCGTGGTTTCATGAAAGGGCCGGGCAACCATCACCACACAGGGGGCGGAGACCTATTGCGCAACGGGCGTGGTTTCATAAAAAGGGGCGGGGCGTCTGACATATTGCGCAAGGGGCGTGGTTTCATAAAAAGGGGTGTGGTTTCCTAAAAGGGGCGTGGTTTCATAAAAAGGGGGCGGGGCACCTGTCAAAAGTTAGTTTGATGACTTGTACCGCTTTACACTACTTATGCCATTCGGGAGTTTGGAGCATTCACTTGTATGCAGTTCGAGAGTTTGGAGCATTCACTTGTATGCAGTTCGAGTGTTTGGAGCATTCCCTTGTATGCAGTTCGAGTGTTTGGAGCATTCCCTTGTATGCCGTTCGGGAGTTTGGAGCATTCACTTGTATTCAGTTCGTGAGTTTTGGTGATTCTACAGTAGCTGTGCCTGTCTCTGAAAGGGGGCCGATCACCTAAACGGTTTTTACCCCTTGTGTGCAAAACGGTCCGTTACAGTGATGTATGGTTTTAGAGTTATGAAAGTTGGGTAGAAAGTATGTTTTAACTGTATGTGTAATTGAGTTTCCTCTCAGGCTAAGGGGAGGGAATATGTGGGATGTAACTGATATGTGATTGGTTGTTTTATACCTCCCTGTGGGCGGTCCTGTATTTGCAAGACTGTAATAAAAACCAGGCTGGGTGTGCCAGCACCTCAGACCACTGCTTGACCCTCAACACGGAGCCTTGTCTCGTTCTTGGGGGGATTCACTGTATGCAGTTAGAGACTGATTGCCAGGAGTGTAAGCTGATTGTCTGCTTTTCCTGTTCGTCTGCTAGCAGCTATTTGGGAGGTTCCCGTTCGGGAGTTGGAGTGCTATTTTGTATCCAGTTCGGGAGTTTGGTGTTCTGCAGTAGCTGTGCCTGTATCTCTGGAAAGGGGGCCGATCGCCTAAACGTTTTTTACCCCTTGTGTGCAAAACGGTCCGTTACACCCATAAAAAGTATATCGGAACTGGGGGATCTGGGTGAACCACATATCCAAAATTCACCCAGATCCGTTCAGTAGTTTGGAAGATACAGTTTAATGCAGATTCCACAGAACATATACAGGCTATATGAAAAATAATTACTGTATAATGTGTCCCCTGTTGTACAGTTTAAAACTACTGCATGATGTCTTTGTGCACCAAATACCGGCGAGATGGCACCGTGTAGAAAAGTCCAAACAGTGTCTGTGAGTTAAACTACTGGCATACAAGGGAATAAGGTAGCACTCCAAATACATGAACAGGAACCATACGAATTGCTGCTACCAGACGAACAGGAAAAGCTCCTGGCAATCAGTCCTTAGCAGCATACAGTAAATCCCCCCAAAGACGAGACAAGGCTCCGTGTTGAGGGTCAAGCAGTGGTCTGTTTAATGAGGGCTACCTGCCCGGCTTCTATGCAGGTCTCCCACCTGGTGGACACTCCCCTAGGGGACCAAATGGGAGACTGTGACAAGGGACAGACAAGCAGACAAATAGGACACACAGTCACAGTATATTCCCACAATGCATCATGGCTTCCTCCCCTCTGCCCTGGGAGATAATTGAGAAGTAACTCAATTATCTCCCAAGACAAAGGCAAAACTCCATTACACATGTGGGGACACAAAACCAGTATTATACTTTAAAATACATAAAGCAACATTTATTACATAAAACACAGACATGTAACATATCCCCAGATAGCTCAGGTCTGAGTGCACATTATTAGGTGAATGGCACTCAGACCACACGAATACAGTTTAATCGCCATGGAGCCAAAGTCTTTACAGTCAGTTTTATACGAATGGGCTCCATGGGATTCCTATCTGGGGTATAACACATTCAAACAAATCTACGAACCCCAGGCAGAAAAGCACGAATGAAGCTTTTCTGCAGGTAAAAATAAAGTCTTTTAAAAGGGGGCCATAGTCCAGGGCAGCAGGCGGGCAACCAGGCTTCTCCAATGCAATGTGGCGAGATTGGTCTCGTCACATCTCTCCCCTTTTCCAAACAGACTAACAGGGTATCTGACCTCCTGCCGGTCAGTGCCCTTGTTAGTCCAGCAGCCCACCCACAAAACATAATCAACAGCACAGCCCACCCACAATAAATGGTTACTACACCTGGGTAAAGGAGAAGCTTGTCCATGTCCAGGTGCCTCACCACGGCTGTGCTGGGTACGGGTACGCTGACTGGGTGGGTTGCTGCGTGGGCAGAGACCAGCGGCACTCTGCCCTGTTGCCAGCGCTACTGGGAGGGTAGCCTGGTTGAAGCCTGGTTGTTGGAGGAGGAGACCGACTGTCTCCCCTTTAACTACACTGCTCTGCTGCTGGAGACCGACTGTCTCCCCTTTAGACACACAGCTCTGCTGCTGGAGACCGACTGTCTCCCCTTTAGATACACCGCTCTGCTGCTGGAGACCGACTGTCTCCCCTTTTGTTGCACAGCTCTGCTGCCGGAGGGGGAGACCGACTGTCTCCCCTTTGGATACTCTAAGCTGTCGCTGGGGAGAGGGGGTAACAGGCTCCTCTCCTGATAGAACACTCTGCCGCTGGGGAAAGGAGACTGAGCTCTCTATTCCCTGCCCATTAATGATCCGCCGCTGGGGAGAGGTGGTAGTAAGCTCCTCTCCCATACATACTTTCATCCTCTGTGGAGGGAGACCGACTGTCTCCGCTCCCAATACAGTTTCCTGCTGCTGGGGAAAGGAGACTGGGCTCTCTATTCCCGGTAGGACACTCTGCCGCTGGGGAATGGAGACTGGGCTCCCAATTCCCTGCTGTATCTCCCGCTGGGGAATGGAGACTGGGCTCCCAATTCCCGGCACATCACTCGGCCGCTGGGGAATGGAGACTGGGCTCCCAATTCCCAAAAAATCACGCTGCTGCTGGGGGGCAGGAACAACTACCTCTGCCCCCTGTAGCTCAGCCTGCCGCTGGGGAGGGAGGACGCTGCTCTCCTCTCCCTGCACTTCACACTGCCTTCCTGGCATCTCACTCTGCTGCTGGGGGGCAGGAACAACTACCTCTGCCCCCTGTAACTCAGCCTGCCGCTGGGGAGGGAGGACGCTGCTCTCCTCTCCCTGCACTTTACACTGCCTTCCCGGCATATCACTCTGCTGCTGGAGGGCAGGAACAACTACCTCTGCCCCCTGTAACTCAGCCTGCCGCTGGGGAGGGAGGACGCTGCTCTCCTCTCCCTGCACTTTACACTGCCGCTGGGGAATGGAGACTGGGCTCCCAATTCCCGGCATTTCACACTGCCACTGGGGAATGGAGACTGGGCTCCCAATTCCCTGCAGGACCGGTGGAGAGACCTCGGTCCCATCTCTACCGGCCACCTGGGGTTCTTCCCAGAAAATATCAACAATGTCTTCCCAGCTGAATGGGTCTGGAACTGGATCTGCCACCTTGCTGTCCTGCTGAATCTTCTCAATGGAGTGGAAGAGATCTCGGTAGTCCTGCTCCAGTTCCCACTCCAGGGTTGCTAGGTGAGCCAGGTCTTGCTCAATGTCGTGAGTGTCGTCCCAGTCATACCTGCTCTCCCTCCACTCCAAGAGATCACTGAACCGTGCTTGTGTAGGGCTCCCAAATTCAGGCTCTGAAAAAGCCTCCCATAACAAGCCAGGACCATCAAACTCCTCTCCCTCTGGCTTGTCATGCTCGGCTGTCCAGGGCAGGTACTGTGCCCCATACCACCAGAGCGCCTGGTAGGCATCTTCCAGCCAAATCTCCTGCCATACCCAGTGCTCCAATTCCTTCACCCATTCATCCAGGGGCTGCTCTCCCAGGAAGGGCATCCGCAGGGCCACTTGCTTCTGCAACCGCTGCTCTTCACTGGGGAGACTCTCGCCCCGCTGGTATTGTACATTATCCAGGGCCTGGTACCAGATGCCTTTCCTTAATGCATCCCGGCCATCCAGGTCCTCCTCCTCGTATGACACTGCTGGTTCCATTCTGTTGCTGTCAGGGTCGCTGTACTCAGACATGCGTTGCCCTCAAATTGTAAATCCACGGAATGGTGTTGCCTGTAGCTGTCCTGTAGTCTGTGGGAACGATCCCGCCGCTTGCCACCAATTGTAACGGACCGTTTTGCACAAAAGGGGAAAAAACCGCTTAGACGATAATCCCCCTTTCAGAGACAGGCACAGCTACTGTAGAATCACCAAAACTCACGAACTGAATACAAGTGAATGCTCCAAACTCCCGAACGGCATACAAGGGAATGCTCCAAACACTCGAACTGCATACAAGGGAATGGTCCAAACACTCGAACTGCATACAAGTGAATGCTCCAAACTCTCGAACTGCATACAAGTGAATGCTCCAAACTCCCGAACGGCATACAAGGGAATAAGGTAGCACTCCAAATACATGAACAGGAACCATACGAATTGCTGCTACCAGACGAACAGGAAAAGCTCCCAAGCGGCTTACACTCCTGGCAATCAGTCCTTAGCAGCATACAGTAAATCCCCCCAAAGACGAGACAAGGCTCCGTGTTGAGGGTCAAGCAGTGGTCTGTTTAATGAGGGCTACCTGCCCGGCTTCTATGCAGGTCTCCCACCTGGTGGACACTCCCCTAGGGGACCAAATGGGAGACTGTGACAAGGGACAGACAAGCAGACAAATAGGACACACAGTCACAGTATATTCCCACAATGCATCCTGGCTTCCTCCCCTCTGCCCTGGGAGATAATTGAGAAGTAACTCAATTATCTCCCAAGACAAAGGCAAAACTCCATTACACATGTGGGGACACAAAACCAGTATTATACTTTAAAATACATAAAGTAACATTTATTACATAAAACACAGACATGTAACATATCCCCAGATAGCTCAGGTCTGAGCGCACATTATTAAGCGAATGGCGCTCAGACCACACGAATACAGTTTAATCGCCATGGAGCCAAAGTCTTACAGTCAGTTTCATACGAATGGGCTCCATGGGATTCCTATCTGGGGTATAACACATTCAAACAAATCTACCGAACCCCAGGCAGAAAAGCACGAATGAAGCTTTTCTGCAGGTAAAAAAAGATGTCTTTTAAAAGGGGGCCATAGTCCAGGGGCAGCAGGCGGGCAACCAGGCTTCTCCAATGCAATGTGGCGAGATTGGTCTCGTCACAATCACATTCACATAAAATTACATATTCACAATCAATCCATTCAGGGGAACAACATATTAAAAAATGGCATGAATCCGACCAGGGGTTCAAAAGTTAGTAAAAAGTATCTTTTGTACCCTGGCTGGCAGCATGGCTATCTGGCTCAAACAGGTTTTACAGAGCCCTCTGTCCTGGACAATGGGGAAAGTAATCCAATTATCCAGGGATAGAGGCAGACTCCATTGAGCACATGGGGACACAAAGACAGTAAAACACTTTAAAATACATCAGGTAAGACACCTTACATTAAAACTATACATTTAACATATCCCCAGATAGCTCAGGTCTGAGCGCACATTATTAAGTGAATGACCACACGAATACAGTTTAATCGCCATGGAGCCAAAGTCTTTACAGTCAGTTTCATACGAATGGGCTCCATGGGATTCCTATCTGCGGTATAACACATTCAAACAAATCTACCGAACCCCAGGCAGAAAAGCACGAATGAAGCTTTTCTGCAGGTAAAAAAGATGTCTTTTAACAGGGGGCCATAGTCCAAAGGCAGCAGGCGAGCAACCAGGCTTCTCCAATGCAATGTGGCGAGATTGGTCTCGTCACAATGGGATTATTGCATGTTTTGGGCTCCCTGTGATATGTTTTATAATACTGTATTTCTCTGCCTGTGATAATTATATTAACCATTGTGTTCAGTAATCATATCACAGGCAGAGGGGAGGATTTTGTGTAGGAGTGTCTGTGTGTATTCTATGGATTGATTGGTTGTATTTCAGAACCCTGTGGGCAGTACTATGTTTGTGGATTGTGAATAAAAGAGGCTGTATGTGCCAGTTCTACTTCACCCTCAATTTGGAGTCCTGTCCCTTATTGGGGGAATCTGCTACAAGCTATGCTTGTCATACTCCCTTGCTAAATCACTGCTAAGCTCTTGTAAGAGCTTGTTCCTGCCTTGCTCTCTAGAGGAGTCTACGGTGGTTATGGTGTCGGCTGGAGTGCTTGGAGTCCTCAGGAAGCGCTAGGAGCATCCTTCAACGGAGGTACCCAGTCGGGGTGCCAGTTGATCCGTTACAATCATGCACAGCTGTGGATTTAGTAATACTGCAAACAGAGCATGCATTCCAGAGGGCAGTGTGGAAAGTGGATTTAAAGGAAGAGTAGAGTGAGATGGGTATGAGATTGGAGTGATTGTTGGAGTTAGCACATGAAGGGTTTGCACGTGTGGCACCGGGGTTTGGAGAAACATCACCAGCTGCTAGGAGTAGAAGGATTGAAAGGAAGAGAAGATGGGAGTAGGATTTAAAGGTTTTGTGAGAGTGTTTATATTTTTAGGATTTAGAAGGAGATGGTGGAGATAAGTTGGAAAGGTACAAGTGGAGTGCATGGGATGAATAAAGAGGGGAGGGAAGTAGGGTGGGAGCAATAAAAATTGTGTCAGCAGGAATTTAGCTTTGGACGAACATAAATTAAACTCTATTAAATTAAACTCTAAAGCATGGCTGTCAGGAGGATCACCAGAATTATCCATTTGAGAGAGGATTGAAGTGCAGGGTATTCTCTTTCATTGTTCAAACTGAGCTCAACTCCTGATGCATGGAGAAAAGGCCTTCACAAGCCTCTGCTATTGTGTACATAGTTTATACTGAGGAGGTTGAGGAGGCGGTGACCGTGGCGGTGTAGGTGGAAGCAGCGGTGGAGGAGGAGGTAGCCAACACTGTTTTATATATATATTTTTTGATTGGGGTAGCCCCCAAAATATTGGGACATATAAAAAAAGAAACATTTGAGGCCTGCGGTGCATTTCTTGCAGTCCAATAACGCCATCAGGTTTTTAAAACTGTCCGTCTCCACAAGGCCACAAATTTTGAAATGCTGGCATTCAGGGCCAGGGCTGCGGGTGGCTAGGGGGGTACTTCCTCTTTCTCTCCAGTGTTTGGGAGATGGACAGCTGAACGCTTCCATGGGACAGTGTGGAGATGCTGGACAATTGTGTACCTGGCCTATGCTGGTGCAGGAACCCACCCTCCGGGCCACTTGTGAATGACAGGCCTGATAACCGTGGAAATGACCCCTCTTCCTCCTTCTCTTCCTCCTGTGCCAAATCCTCTTCCATCATCACCCGAAACGTTTTTTTAAGGAGACATAGAAGCGGGATAGTAAGGCTGAGAACGGCGTCATTGGCACTGACCATGTTGGTGGAGTACTCGAAACAGCGCAACATGGCACACAGGTCTTGCATGGAGGCCCACTCATTGGTGGTGAAGTGGTGCTGTTCCGCAGAGCAACTGACCCGTGCGTGCTACAGCTAAAACTCCACTATCGCCTGCTGCTGCTCGCACAGTCTCTCCAGCATGTGCAAGGTGAAGTCCCACCTTGTGGGCACGTCGCATATGAGGCGGTGAGCGGGAAGGCCAAACTTACACTGCAGCACAGACAGGCGAGCAGCAGCAGGGTGAGAACGGCAAAAGTGCGCACAGACGGCACGCACTTTCTGCAGCAGCTCTGATATATATGGGTAGTTTTTCAGCAATTTATGCACCACCAAATTCAGCACATGCGCCAGGCAAGGGATGGGCGTCAAAACGGCTAGCCCCAGAGCTGCTACGAGATTTTGCCCATTATCGCAAACCACCGGGCCGGGCTTGAGGCTCAGTTGCAACAACCACTCATAGGTCTGTTGTTCCATGCCCGTCCACAGCTCCTGTGCGGTGTGGGTTTTTTCCCCCA